GACATTTCCCTATTGAATGCTCTCCAGGCTCAGTTTTTGCTGACTTTTAAGTCGTCAAGGTTTTTATTCCACCTCGGGACGTTATATTGACTTTTTGGAGGTTGGGTTTGGGGAATACTATAATATATATATATATATATATAATATTATTTTGTTTATAGTGCTGTGTTCTTTATTTTTGTTAGTGGATACTGGAATTTGGTTATTAAAGCGGTTGGTAAGACTTTCGAATTTATCATAAAGTATATATAATCTAGATCAGGATCACTAGCCAAGTCGATCTAGCCATGTCCGTCCAGATGAACGCTGACATCTTGGAAACTATAAGAGCTAGGCTATTGGGATTTGGCATGCAGATTCCTGAACTTCTTACGCAGCGCAAGTTTGTCTCAGTCGCGTTTATTACACTAAGGGAAATATCGAGTTTTTTTAATTTTATTTTTTTAGGGTATGACAATTTCGTGTATTTTGTACAAATTCTGAGTTCCTTAAACGGGGTCAGCTAAACAATGCTGTTTTCCAGCGATTTTCATTACAATAATTATTTTATAAAATACACTAAGTGAAATATCGAGTTTTTTGAACAAAATTGTTAACCTTATATCGATACCCTTTATCAATAGGTCGATAAAAACGAAATTATGTTAAAGAATATTTTCAATGAATTAAAGACATGCTTTTGACTATACTCGCTTGCCTGATCTATTTGATGTATTGTTTATTGAAATCGGTTCAGTAGTTTATTAGAAAATCCCATTTTAAGAGTTTCAGAAAAATATATTAATTATTTCTTCTCCAGCGCTCCTGCATTTGTAGGAGCTGACTATTTATATAAGCTTACATACTTATCGTAACTTAAACTCACCACGCGCAAATTCGGAACAAAAAACTCGATATTTGCCTTAGTGTAATTTAAAAACAAATAAAAAAAAACATATTGGTTAAGGATCTGTAGGTGGAGCGGTGGTAGCAGCAACGGGCTAGGGTGAACCTTACCCAGGAGACATCGAACTTGCGATTATTTATATATCGTTATAAATGCTGAGCCATTTACATACAACACTCGGTAGATTAAGCTTACATACTTATCTTAATCTTACGTTCAATAACCATTGTGACTTTAACTTAAACTCACCCACGCGCAAATACGGAAAAATCCTCACTAGTTTACCAATTTGTAACACATCTAGTAATCAACTAACTTATATGAACGGAAAAACTATATACACACTTTTACAGTATCTACTCTAAAATAATACATCTGCTCAGAAGTATATATATATAAATAATAAAATATAATTAGAACACCAGCCACGACTAGGTAGAACTAGAACACTTCCCAACACATGCCCATTCTGCCACCACTCCCCAATATCCAACATATCATTATACACTGTCCTTCCTTATCCCAACCCAGATCAGAATCCTGCCATTCGCTTAACCCCATCAACATTATCTCAAACGCAACCCCCGACAACGTCATGAAAATCATCACATTCCATAAAAAAACCAAAATTAAGTTTAAAATTGAAATGTTCTTAACTTAGTTAGCCTATAGTTTTAAATTTCAGCTAGCTTTATATAAATAAATAAATAAATAATTACAACAAACAGAATTTTAAATGTTGAATCTTTTTTATTGTTATGTATGTATATGTACATGTAATTGTTTTTTTTTGTTTTGGGCGGCTTCGGCGGCTTCCTTCTGCAGCCTGATCTCCATCTCTCCATCGGCGGCTTCCCTCGGTTGCTCTACGGCTTCCTCCTGCCACGTTGCTCCGCCATTGGTGCGGTGGTCGCCGCTGGCGTCGCCCTCGGCCCGAAGTCGTCCTGGTGACCAGGAGCGGATTGGCGATTGCGTCGTCGGCGCCGACGTTGTGACTCCTCGCCATCGCCATGCCGATTCTCGTCACCAGGACGACGTCGGCGCCGACTGGCCGGCTGCCCTTCATCGGCGGAGCGCTCCTGCTGCCGCCGACATTCCAACTCCTCGCCATTCCGATCCTCGTTACCAGGACGATGTCGGCGCCGACTGGCCGGCTCCTCTGCATCGGCGGAGCGCTCCTTCTCGGAAACCCCCAGATAAAAATTGGTGATTGTCTGAAAAATAAATTTTTATTGTTAATATAATTAATAAGTAAAATCAAAAATAAACTTACGCATTTTATCATACAAATTTGGCGTGCCATCTTTTCCGTTTCTTCCCGTTTTTCTTTCACCTTACGTCTCTGCACGAGCTTCTCATTCAAAGTAACGGGGATTCTATTCGGCAGTATGGCAACTCCACAATAGCTACTAGGGAATTTTTATCTTTTTCTAAAATCAGTAATATGTTAAATTCTACCAAACCACTGGCTCGATTTCAATGAATTATATATTAAAATAATCAGGAAATAAATACCAATTAGGGGGTGCATACATATAACAATGAAGATTTGATATTAAAAATATATATTTTTGAATATTTGGCGGCCAAAAGTATTCGATTGGCTCAATTAAGTGTTGTAGGTCGTAGCCTGGCACTTGGCGATATATCGATAAGTACCTTTTTGCGGTAAATGTCTTGGCTGAATTCGCTTCCTCGCTGGTCTTTGAATTGCCTGTAATTTATTTAGAAATTAGCTTTAATGATGCCCCTTCGAATGCGATACCGTGCAAGTTGGCACAACCTCTGTGAGAGCTGTATGAATTAATTAAAGTTTGCATATATATTTTGATGGTTGATGTCACGGGTCATACGATTTATCGCAGGCCTTGACAGTGTGACCGCGTGGCAAAAGCCATAATTGAAAAGACTTGAATTTCTCGAAAACTGTGGGTTTGAATTGCCTGAAATTTATTTAGAAATTAGCTTTAATGATGCCCCTTCGAATGCGATACCGTGCAAGTTGGCACAACCTCTGTGAGAGCTGTATGAATTAATTAAAGTTTGCATACATATTTTGATGGTTGATGTCACGGGTGTATACGATTTATCGCAGGCCTTGACAGTGTGACCGCGTGGCAAAAGCCATAATTGAAAAGACTTGAATTTCTCGAAAACTGTGGGTTTGAATTGCCTGTAATTTATTCAGAAATTAGCTATAATGATGCCCCTTCGAATGCGATACCGTGCAAGTTGGCACAACCTCTGTGAGAGCTGTATAAAGATATAGAAAGTTAGCGTCGAATGATTGTCATGGCTAAGCTGTTTACATTGTGGTTTATGTCTTAGTATCCAATGGTACCGTTTCTGGATTAAACGGCCTTTTAATAACCTTTTTAACACCCCCAACTGTTAAGCAATTTTCTCAAAATCTGTGGGTTTGATTTTGATAAAACTTTCACAGAACAGTCCCTAGATTATCCCCTATCTACCCATATACCGTGCATGTTGGCACAACCTCTAGGAGTGGAGCAGTAGGTAATTTCATTTTTGCCCCCCTTTTTTGTATGGGGAAAATCCGAGGTTGCGGTACTGTTAGGCTATTTTCTCGAAAACTGTGGGTTTGATTTTGATGAAACTTTCAGACAAGGAGCTTGAATTAACCCTTAATAGCTTGGTTTATCGTGCATATTGGCACAACCTCTGTGAGGGGAGCAGTTAACAAAATTGTGGGGACACGATTTTTCAAATGCATTTTTGAAATACTAATAGGCCTTTTCTTTCTTAACAATCTAGCATTTTAAATTTTTCGATTTGGTCCCCAAATAGCGAGAAAATTTAAAAATAAAAAGGGCCCCATGTTCCATATTCCACCGTTCCCGTTTTCGTTGCTAACAGGCCGACGCTAATTTGACGCACATTGAATTTCTCGAAAACTGTGGGTTTGAATTGCCTGTAATTAACTCAGAAATTAGCTAAAATGAATGTCCGTCAAATTAGCGTCGGTGACTTAGCGGCACTGGCGGAACGGTGAAATCTGGAACATGGGGCCAATTTTTATTTTTTGTTTTTCTCGGCTTTTTTGGGCCGAATCGAAAAATATTAAATGCAAAATTGTTTAGAATAAAAATATCTATCGATCTAGATAGTTTGCAAACATATCCGACTTCTTGAAATTTATTAAAAATCTATTTAAAAAATCGGGTCCCCACAATTTCGTTTATTGCTCTCCTCACAGAGGTTGTACCAATATGCACGGTAAACCTGGTTATTGGGCGTTAATTCAAGTTTCTTGTCAGAAAGTATCATTGAGCTAAAGCCGTCAGTTTTTGAGAAAATAGCTTAACAGTAAAGGCACCTCGGAATTTCCCCATACAAAAAAGGGGGGCAAATAGTAAATTGCACAGGGCTCCACTCTCAGACGTTGTACCAACATGCACGGTATATTGGCAGATTGTTGATCGCCTAAAGCAAGTTCAGTGCAAAAATCATAACGATAAAGCCGTCAGTTTTTGAGAAAATCGCTTTACAGTGGGGGAAGATAAATAATTAAAAGAAGTGGCGCCAGATTATAATTTGAACCAGTAAGTTCCAAGACATGAACCACTATGTAAAAAATGTATTCAGGACACTAACCATATGGCAAAAAATTATGTTTCGACGCTATCTCTATTTGTAATAATTTTGACTTTCACAGACGTTGTACCAACATGCACGGTACCTCGTTGGAAAGGAAATTCATTTTACTAATTAACAAATGTGGTTCCGCGATCGAAAAGCCGTCAGTTTTTGAGAAAAAAGCATAATGCGTGGTTTGCATCTCATTTGTAACAAAATTGTTCCACCCTGTTCTAAGCTCCCAAGACACTAACCATATGGGAAAAAAATAATGTTTCGACGCTATCTCTATTTTTAATTAATTTGACTTTCACAGACGTTGTACCAACATGCACGGTACCTCGTTGGAAAGGAAATTCATTTTACTAATTAACAAATGCGGTTCGGCGAACGAAAAGCCGTCAGTTTTTGAGAAAAAAGCATAGTGCGTTGTGGGCATCTCATTTGCTCCAAAATTGTAACTAGGAACACATTAACCTTATATCGATACCCTATATCGATACTTCGATAAAGGCAAGCTGAAAGTGTGGCATCACTCCCGATTCGCGGGAACTTTTTATTTCCCAAGAAAGAAGAAAATGTCGAGGGTGCTGCTGGATAAGTGCGTAACTAATTTATATGTATTAATTAAAATGAACTGTTAATAATTTATTCTTCCCATTTTACAGAACGTAGACAAGTTCATCGTTGGAGAGAATGGGGAGGGGGGGCTCCCCCCCCCAAACGCAAACAAACAAAGGCCAAAAGGCCACAGAAGCGCCGCAAGACTGCGAAGGCGGCAAATCAGGAGGCGGCTAGCGAGGAGGCGGCCGTCGATAAGGCTGATGTAATAAATATCTGAATAAATAAATATGAAGAAATAAAAACATCAAAAGTAAATGCGTCGAATTTTTATTTTTATACCCGTTACTCGTAGATTTCAAGTTCCATTGTGATAAGATAGTAAGAATGAAACGATTATAAGTTCTTCAAATATTAATCGGTTTATTGATTATTTTTTTAATTGCCATATTAAGAAATATGAACGACTGTCCACTTGGGACTTGGACAGTAAAACTTATTTTTAAGTCATGAAGTCAAATTATGAAAGTGTCTTCAATTTAGTGTCAATACGTTTTGAAGTAAATATTGCAAAAATACATTGGTACATTAACAATGTGAACCAAATGAAAATTAACGGTCTCTTCGGGAATTTCTGTTTTCATTAAAGGATGCAAGGAACCTCGAATAACGCTAAAATTTTAGAGCTGCGACAAAAGCTGGAGCCGATAATCGCAGTTCCTCTGTTCAAGATACATATCCATATATCTGATGCAAGGAACCTCGATTAACGCTACAATTTTGGAGTTGCGACAAAAGCTGGAGCCGATAAACGCAGTTCCTCTGTTCAAGATACATATCCATATATCTGATTAGTGTCCGAGAAAATGAATTAATTTCTGATGTTTTGGGTACAAGGATTCAGGAGGATTCAAGAATGTGCTAGTTCAACCTATTGGAACTGCTGGAATAAAATAAAATAAACAGGGACAGGTTAAACAATGTATAAAAATAATAAATTTATTCAAGGAGAATAAATCCGAGAAATCTCGAATAATGCTACAATTTTGGAGTTACGACAAAAGTTGGTGCCAATTAAAGCAGTTCCACTGTTCCAGATACATATCCGTAAATTTGACTAGAGTCTACGAGAGAAAGAATTAATTTGCGATTATAAAGTAATTAATTTATTCAAGATAATAAAATAAACTGCAGCCAGTGCAGAGGGGTTTTCTTGCCCCAGCGACTAGAAAGCGACTGGTAAGGTAGTAGTTGCTACAATTTCGCTTCAGCGGAAAGTGGGACCATACCCATAAATTCTGTATCTCCCCATTTTTCGTCAGTATTTTTTCTTTGAATTTAGGTTATTTCTGTACATGGCGCTTTGGGATTTTTTGGTATAATATCAATGTCATATACTGAAATTTTAATTAATTTCTTATACACTTGTATTTTCAAATTTGTTGTATAGAAATGGAGCTTTAAAACTGCAGGGAAAACATTGGCAAAGTATAAATTAATTAATTAATTTATATAATTATAATTAATTAATTATAAATTTAATATATAAAGATATATTTATTTATTTACAAACTGCTTGCTTATAGTTAACGCTAAAGCAACAGGGGTAGGCAGCCATAGCTACATAGGCTGGCTTAAAGTCTACAGTTCAATTTTCTATTCGGTTCTTTATTTCTAAGGGTATAATTCATTCATGGTATTCGCTTCTTAATTTTATTTATTACATTTCAGGTGTATTAACAAAGTACCTTAATTATACGAGGTTTAATAAGTTAGATTTCTTAAGGAAGTCGAGAACTTGAAGGAGGTTGGTGGGTTTGGTTGTAATTAAATGCAGTGCATTCGTTAAGGATATGGTATATTGACTTTGAGTTATTTTGGCTGAACTTACAGGGGTTGTCTGTAGCCTGAAGGAGTCTGAATTCATGTGTAAGTCTGGTGTGGCACAGACGTAATCTTATGATTCGGGTTTGGTCTTTTCGTGTTTGATTATTTCTTTTGCTTTTGTGTAGTTAGTTTTGATTTTATGTCGAGAAATTCTTTTCTTAATATTGGCATGCTTGTTGTTGCTTTCTTATATTGGCTTAAATGTGTGTCTATAGCATCTGATTGTAACGGCCAAGGGGGTTTCGATTTTGGTAAGATTTTTGTTGGGCTTATAGGGAGACCTAGGTTTGCACAGGACATAATAGTTTTATTGTTGTTTTTTGTAATTTTATCTATTGTTGATTTTAGAGGAGTATCCGATGATTGCGTTATTGTATTAGACAATTTGGCTTGAAGATGATTTGTTCTAATGTCTAAGGGTGGTATGTTCGATTCTAAGTGTAAGTTGATGACGGGTGTTGAGCAAAAGGCTCCTAGTGCGGAACGGATTGCATTGTGGAGAAGAGTTTGGATCGGTTTGATTTGCGATTTTGGAGCTAGACCATAAAATGGTAAACCGTAGTCTATTTTTGACAAACATAGACTTCTGACTATTTGGACTAAGGTCAGTGGCTGGCAGTTATATTTATCATTTGAGAGGCATTTTATAATATTAATTGAATAAGGATTCAAGGATTTTGCTAGTTTATTTATGTGGGGTTGCCATTTCTATTTTGTGTCGAATAATAAGCCTAGCATTGTTAGTTCCGCTACTGTGCAATAGAGTTTGTTACTGTAGAAAGTTGGCAAACACAGTTGTGTTTTCTGCAGATGTGTATATGCTTGCATTTTGATAGGGATAACGACGCTCCAGATAAATTTCACCAGTAACTAATGTCCTCGAATAGACTATTTAAGTTTATTGTTAAGTTTTTCTGTTTTTTTAGGTCAACTATAATGTTATAGTCGTCTGCAAATGCTGTAAAAGTCAGGTTCTTGTGTTTACTTATTGTGTCTGATAGGCTGTTATATGCAATGAGAAAAAGTATCACAGATAGGGGGATCCCTGCGGTATTCCATTGTCAAGTGGTTGAGTTAGTAAGTGACTGTGGTGTGTCTCTAATTTTTCGACTTGTCATAAATTGGGTTACGTATTTGATTAGCCTTGGCCCACAGCCCCATTTAATCAATTGGTCTTTTATCGTGTGCAGTCCTACTTTCTCAAATGCGTTTTAAAGTCAAGAGATATAATTAAGAGGGCTTTGTTGATCAGAAAGTCTACATGTAGTAGACAATCTGTTACAGATTTCCCCTTTTTGAACCCAACTTGACGACTGTTCAGAAGTTTGTTGGAAGTAACAAACCACCAGAGCCGTTTGGAGATGATTTTATCAAGAGTTTTTGAGATACATGGGTTAAGGGAAATGGGTCTGTATGATTCAATAATGGTTTTGTCTTTGCCAGGCTTATGAATTGGGACTATTGTACTTATTTTAAAGGCCTGAGGTATAAAAGATTTTAGGATAGAGGTGAAGAAGTTATTTATTTTAATTTTTTTTGCCGTTTGAGGTATCATTGTATAATTGATCTTGTCGTTCCCAGGAGTGTTTCCTTTTAGACTGTTCAAAGCTACAGAAAATTCAAGGTAGTCAATGTCTTGTTCCATGAAGTCAGCTGTTTTTTTTAGTTGGTTCGTCGTTGTTCTGTCTGTATGCGTTGCGTTTTGCGTCTAAAAAAGCTTGCGAAAAGTTGTGATCATCGGATTGAGATGACCAATGTTTGGAAAAAACTGTAGCAATATCTTCTGGATTTAAGACTATTGTGTTGAGATTGTTGTTCTGAATACAATGTATGTGTGTGGATCTGTGAATTCCACAGAATTATCTAATTTTACTCCAGATCATGTCTGGCTTTGAGTCAGTTGAAATGCTGGATGTTAGTGCGTGAATACAACTTTTTGCTAAGCCGAATTTCTCGTCTGAGCTGGGCATTAGTTTTTTTTTAAATGTATTAGGTTGCACACGGACATTTCCCTATTGAATGCTCTCCAGGCTCAGTTTTTGCTGACTTTTAAGTCGTCTAGGTTTTTATTCCACCTTGGGACGTTATATTGACTTTTTGGAGGTTGGGTTTGGGGAATACTATAATATATATATATATAGTGTTAGTGGATACTGGAATTTGGTTATTAAAGCGGTTGGTAAGACTTTCGAATTTATCCCAGTTTGCTCTTTTAGTTATAAACCTTTATGTGTAGTTAAATGTTTGGTTTTCTTGGGCAAAAATATTTATTATTATGCGAAAATGGTCACTACCCTGGGGAGTGTCCATGATATTAAAATCGCAGTGATTTTTGAGGTTCGGAGAGCAAAAGGCAAGGTCTAGGTGGGTGTTGTTTAATATGGTGTAGTTGTTGCTGTGAATGTAGTCTTCCAGGATTCTACCCCTGCGATTGCTTTTGGGAGATACCCAGAGGCTATTCCATCCATTAAAGCCTCCTGTGTACAGTGTAGGTGTTGTTAAGAAGGGTATCGTGGTTTCTATATCTGTCTTGGTAAATTTTTGTGAAGGTGATATATAGGCTGAAAAGATATTAAGCTTTTTTTGGGATTGTATTTCCAATTCAATGGTTTCGAAAACTTATCCTACAGGGATTTGCTTATGCTGAACTGATTTATGGATCAGTAGAGCAACTCCACCTTTGGGTAAAGACGCAGTTGTGTTATAAATTTTAAAGTTAACTGGGATTGGGAATTGTTGAAAGAGTGTTATGTGGGTTTCCTGATGGGAAATAATTTTGGGTTTATGGAGTTTAGTTCGTTATAATTATTTACATAGCCATTAAAGTTCCATTTTAATACAGTAAGTGTCATATTTACTATTGTGGGGTATGGTGTGTTCGCTAAGATTTTCTATTAGCTATTACGTTTGAGCTAGGGGTATTTTTAATCATAGATCTAGTTAACATTGTGGCACTCGATTTTTCCTTACTAATAAGATGTCTTTTAGATTTGTTACTTATATTTCTTGGAAGAATAGTTATTTGGGTTGTTTTAACATTGTTGATTTGCTCTTCACCAGTGTCTGTAGACATATTTTCGTCATCATTGTCGTCGTAGGAAATTATTTGTCTGCCTGTGTTTGTTGTCGGTGGAGAGTTATGAGAGGTGGAAGCTGATGTTGATGGCGTGTTCTGGCTGAGCTGCTGTGGTCGAGAGTACTTTTGATTAGAGGAGTTTGCAACCGATGCGTACAAGGAACCGTCATGATGGTGTCTGCTTTTGAGAATTTTCCAGGCCGTTCTGTAGTTACCTTTTTGGTTGGTTTTGATGGCTTGTACTTCTCGGTGAGTAAGAAATACTGGGCAATTTCTATCTCTGGGATGGTGATCGGAGTTAGGAAGGCTTTTATCCGTGCAATTAATGCAGCTTACAGCACGCTCGCATTTTTGT